CTGTAGGCCCTTGTGCTCCACACGGTACCGCAGGGCCCCAGGCTCCACCTGGCCTTCTGGCTCAGTACTCTTGAGCTCCTCCCCGTTAAGGAACCAGGTGCCCTGGATGATGGTGGAGAGATCGAGGGAGAAGACGGCATCTTCCCCATCATATACCTGCACATCCTCCAGACCTGCCACCAAGCGAGCTGTGGGCACTGAGATGAGGACAGAGCACAACCATCAGAACCACAGTGGTGGCAGAGGGCAGAGGTTCACCGTGGAAGGCATTTAAGAGGACAGAGACTAAGGACTGCAAAAGGGAGGAGGGGGTGCGACTTGGGACAGAGCCACCCACAGACCGGGTCTGGCGGGGCCGACTCACCAAGGTGAGCAGACCCATGGAACACAACGTGGGGACTGCGGCCGTGTTCGCTGACCGTGCAGACGCGGAAGCGGTAGTCGCCCTCAGAGGGCACACAGTCTCCCGGCACTTCCACGGCTCCAGCTTTCTCAATGCTAAAGCACTGGATCCAGTCTTCTGAGCCCACTTCCTGCCGCTCTAGCCGATAGATAAAGGGGGTCTCAGGAGCTGGCTCAGGAGGCTTCCAGGTCAGCAGGACTGTGTTCTTGTGTCCCTTGAACATCTCTGCCAACACCGGGGGTCCCGGGGGATTGTGCTTGACACCTGAGGCAAAAACGGAGTTTGTATTCGAGCCCTGCTCCAGCCTCCCATTGCCCTCCCGCCTTAAGTCCACTTTGCCAACCCACACTCTGGCATCTGGTCACCCTCCTGCCCTGGCCCTCCTGTCTAGACCTAGCAGAGTCTGCCCAAGGGCTTTCTTGCCCTCACATTTGACTCTGAGAAGAGTGGTGGTACGGGAGTTGCCCAGGCTAAAGGTGACCTCGCCAGCATCTTCTCGGGTGACACCCGGAAGGACCAGGGCATGCATGTGGCCGGAGCTGCTCTGGCACGTGGTTGGCAGGTCCTCCCCATCACGGCTCCAGTGCCCCTCGACTCCAGCCTCTTGTGTCTCTACCAGCAGCACTGCGTTCTCGCCCTCTAGGACATCCAGCTTCCGGGGCAGCCGCTTCACAATGGGCCCTGAGATGCGAATGAGAGTCCATCAGCCTGGGGTTGGGGCACCTGCCTGCCTCAGCCTTGGCCTTCCCCTGCTGGCCAGCTGACCTTTGACTGTCACGTTGGCCACAGTGCGCACCCGGCCCCGCATCTCGCACAGGTAGACGCCATCGTCATCTGCTTTCAGCCTGTGGATGATGAGGCGCCTGACGGTGCCCTCCTCGATCTGTTCATACTTTCGGCAGGGCAGCAGCCGTTGGTCCTCCCGGAACCAGGCCGTAGGGATGCGGGAGTTGGGTACTTTGCACTCCAGCACGGCAATCCCATGCTCCCGGCCCTCCACGTCCTGCAGGGGCCTTGAGAAGCGGAGACGGGGCTCTATGGAAAGGGGAAAGATCAGAGAAGGCTCTGGAGAGGGTCAGACCTGGAGAAAGACTTCTCCTGGCATCGTCAACTGCCTAAATCCAGATGAGCTCACGCCGTTTGCTTTTCTCCCGGAGCCAGTATTCACTGTGGAATCAGAGAAAAACCTCCAGAAGCGAAGCCAGATGGCCTAAATTCTCATCTGACCCTGACACTCACTAGCCACATCACCTTGAGCTAGGCCATTTTAGTGATCCTGGGCCTCAGTTTCCTTATCTATAAAGTAGGTAAAGGGATAGAAGGGCTTGGACTACATCAGTGATTTTTCAAACCATTCCTTGGGACCCCTCAGAAGCACTGCACAAATTCTGCAAGGGTCTGAGTTGCATTTCCTTTTAAAACTATATAAGCATTTTCAAAACTGCAATTCACAAAAAGAAAGCGCGGTGCTGGAAATGACTCGTGGGTTCACCTGGGCTGCTGGAAAAGCACATTTGTCATGTAGGTCTGGGAAGGTCTGACTTCCCACAGGGCATTTTCCTCTTGCTGGAGTTAGAGTGTTGTCCGCCTGGACAGAGTATGCATATCACCATTCCCATGAGGCCACCACTGTGGCACAGGTGCCACATGCTTGAATGTGTGCCAGGCCAGGCTCAGGAGATTTGCCAACTTTTTTGCCTCCGAGGGAAAAAGCTGGGCAACAACCAGTAAAGATATAACTCTGCGAGTTGTGATGAATTCCTATTACGAAGAGCTTTAACTTTCAGTGTGAGTTTGGGGTGCTTCCCCCTTGTTCTCTGTTTATGAGCATTTATTAGATATTGTTGGTGACTCGACTTTGAAATATAAATTTTCTCTCCTTCACCTTCCTCTTCTTGCAAACTCGGGAAGTGCAGTCTAATGAAAGAATAGTCGAAAATCGCAGGGTGGTTTTATCCCTCAAGTTTACCTTTGGTGTGAATTAAGAGTTTCTCAACGTGATGCCTGCCTCGGCCTATCCCACAGACTCGATGAGGAAGGCAGCTTCCACTTACAATGCGTGTATTCAATAAAACTCCCTTGTTCTCATTGACTGGCTTTATAAATCTGGACTTAGACATTTACAGCCATAAAATGATGCTTTTCTCTTTCTTATATATTGGGGGCCCAGATAGCGTTTCCATTGGGGGAGGGGAAGTAAAATAACAAAGGTTGAAAACCACTGGACTAGAAGAGTTCTAGGCCCCTCTCTGTTCGTCCATCAAGCTCTCCTTAAAGGGAGGCTTGCCACCACATGTCTCAGAATCACTCGCGGAGTTTGCTAAGAAGTTCCTGGGTACCCTGGAGACCTACTAAACCCGAATCCCTGGGAGGAGGTAGGCAGGCAGGAAATGGGACCTTAATGCTCCTCCTCCCCTCTCCCCACCGTCTTCCGTGCAGCTCAGGGGCCGAGCGGGGCTGGAGTTCGGAGGGCCTGGGAGGGGGCGCCACCGTACCTTTAACGTGCAGCTGCACGGCGCTGAGCGTCTGGCCCGCTGAGTTGCGAGCGGCGCACACATAGAGCCCGCGGTCCTTGGCCTGGCAGTAGAGCACCTTGAGCACGAAGCCGCCGTCGCGGTCGCGGTACATGAGGCGGCGGCGGTCGGGGAGCAGAGGGCGGCCCTCCCAGTGCCATTCGATCTCAGGCTCGGGTTTGCCCATCACGTAGCAGCGGAACTTGGCGTGCTTGCCCTCGTTCACCCAGAAGGTCTTGGGCGCGCACTTGACCGGCTCCACCACAGGCTTGGGGGCCTCGTCGGGGTCCTGGGGCGGGCTCTCGCGGGGCTGGTGCACCTGGAGCAGCGCGCCGGCCTGCGCGTGGCCATGCGCGTTGCGGGCGTGGCACACGTAGACGCCGGAGTCGGGCAGCCGCGCCGCCAGGATGCGCAGTGCCAGGCTCGCGCCCCCGCCGCCCTCGGCGCGGCCCGGCTCGAGCACGAAGTGGCTGCTGTCCCACACTTCGTCCAGGGCCATCCCGT